ACCGACTTCCACACTCATTTCATCAGAAAAAATGATACACCGCCAAAAATAAGCGTCCTTAACTTTATATTGGTCACTCCAATCTTTCCGTCTATCTATATTGCTTGGTGACAAGAAAGGTTTCAAGGCAGCAACACGGGAACAAAGCCTAGCATCGTGTAAGGTTCTAGCTACGGTCTGCACACTGTATTGAAGGTTTAAATCCTTCACAATTTTCAGCAGGGGCACATGTCTTTCATTCAACGCTTTTTTTACTATGGCGATTTTTTCTTGCTTCTTTAGGGCGGGGGGGACGTCCAGACTGAGGTAAATTTGCTATTTTTTTGGTCCTCTTGTACTTTGCTAAGAACCTTCAAATTGTTGTTGGGGCACGTTTTAGCTTTTTGGCAACTTGCTCAGCACTCATTGTACTGATATAAGCAAGGACCATTCCTTTCTCTTTTTCATTCATTTGTTTGCGCGGCATTTTCATTAAAAAAAAAATTATTTGAGTCCTTGGGCCTCTTGTTCAGATGTAAAAGAAGCAAAAAATAAAAATAAAATTGCCCCAAATTACGTATGTATGGGGTAAACATAGCCCTCTTATTTGCTCATATGAGATGATCTGCAAATTGGGCGTTACTTTTGTTGGCTACTGTACATATCGCCTAATTGTTTCATGGAATTCTGAGAATCTAAGCATTCTCAATCGTAGCTTATTCAATAAGATACAATTTAATGACATATTTTGTATACAAAAAATCGTGCCTTTTGATTGCATAAGTTATTTATTTAGTTTTTTTTTAAACTTGATTAGAGCTAGATTAGTTAGATTAGTTAGATTACCAATAAAAAGAATCACAGATACTTATTTTTGTTATGGCAATTACACCCAATTACAATATTTACAACCATTATGGCAATTACAACCATTATGCAATTATAGCCATTACAGCATTTTTCAGCATATATGACATTTTACAGCTTTGAGTATTGGTTGTAATTAGGGTTGCAACCCAGGTTGTAATCTGTAATGTCCATAATTATTACTTACGGCTGGCAACCTTAATAATAGAACCTAGGAATAAATCAGTTATTATCCACAAAGTGGACAATAACATATACGTATTATTTTTAATATTCTTGAATTCACATTCAATTACAAATTGCTACTGTTTATTGACAGTTCAAAAAGGTGATGTTTGATTATATCTTTTTCTCATTTCGATTCTCTTTAATTGAAATTTAGGGTGTTCCAAGCACCTCAATTAATGGGTCAAAGTATGTCGAAAATTGTCAGGAATTAAAATTTAATTAATATGGTGCAGGACATCTAGCCACATCACAAAATAATTGCTTGCAATAAAAGTTTAATAACTTTTTAACTAAAAATGTTTTTTAAAAAAATCTTTCTATAGTTATATTATTAAAAACCTAAAGAATATTGATATAGAGAGTTTTTTTTAAAAAGGTCTTTTGTTTAAAAGTTATTTTACTTAGGATTTTAAAAATTTCAGCACTATTATAAAAAAATTAAAATTAACTATAAAAAATTCAACCAATCATCTTTATTTTTATAAGTAATGATCTGCAAAATTTTCAGCACCCGTGATGTCTTTAGATGTTCTGCACCATAGTAAGTATTTTTAATCAATCAATCAAGCTTGTCATTAAGATAAGTAAGGTAGTTTATTACGTGAAAAAATTTCAAATAGTAAAAAATAAACAATGAGTTTGCCATTTCAGTCAAATACTTTTTTCCCGAACCACCTTTTTTCTGCGCTGACTTATCAAAACTTTATAAATATTAAAGTTAATAAAGTATTGTTCAAGTGTTTTCATACTTTTTATTATGGATTTTCACAATCGACACATTTTTTGTAAAATTTTCGATAAACTATTTAGACATCTCAAGCAGTGATTGAGATCTTTATTTTGATCTATCGTTGCAATTTAGCATCATTACAATTATTTGAAAATTACAGTAATAGTAATGTTTGAGCATATCTAATAATACTGTATCGTCATTCGTATGTTATGACAATAGTGATGGTTAAAAATTACGTCATAATACTTGTGCACTATTTCGATCATTATGAATTCGTATCTAGATTGATGCTTGAGAACACCCTTAGGCATCCATTATTTTCGTGTTCTTCGTTTTGCTTATCTATGTAAAGATTAACGATTTTATTGGTCAGTTGACATATGACCGCACCTGGCTTTGGACGATCATATTTCAACACTTAATTAAGCGATAGATCGACATTGTATAACATACATATTTACGCCATAATAAATTTATTCGATTTACAAGCCATATTCGCCGAATCCCGGATTTCTAATTATGACTCATTTAATTAAAAGTAAATATTTAATAATTTAAAAAACATTTTGCTTTATCACATTCAAAGCAGCGTAGCGCAGAGGAAGCGCGCGGGGCTCATAACCCCGAGGTCGGTGGATCGAAACCACCCGCTGCTACAAGTGAATTTTTTTTTTCTTTTTTTTTTTCTTAGAATTTTTATAAATTATCGTAAAAATTTTTTTAAAAGATTTACGGCGAAAGCTCGCATGAAATTTTTTTTAGGATTTGGTACAGTAGCAGTATTTTGTGTAAAAAAGAGTAATGATGGCTAAAGCTTAACATCAAGCATGTTATCATGACATTTAATACCCTTTCTCCTTATTTTTGCCAAAAGGTAATTTATAAACTCAGTAATTACGAAGAAAATCTTGAATTTTTTTTTTTTTTTTTACTATGCGTATAAGTTTTTAAACACAGTCAAGGTGTTACATTACCACCTAATACTATAATAACCTGGGTAAGTGTGAATTCTAAATTAAATTATATAACGATAATATTTGGTTCGTTAATTTTATATTTTTGATTATATATAGAGTTTGTAATAATTGTTAGTTTATATATATAATTATAAATTAAAAAGCAACTACTCCTAACAATTTGAATGCTGCAGAGTGAAAACTTGGAAGTGAATGTTTAAGTTTTCACCGTAGCGAGTTTACCCCCAGAGAAAAATTGTAGTATTACATGTTTCAATAGAATGTCCGATATATGTTATTGTATTACTGAAATTACAGAACGTCATACCGATATACGCTTCCATATTTTCACTCCTTAACGCTCACCTTTACAATTGTTGGCTATTTGAATACTTATATCTCTAAAGAAAAAATTTTGAATATTATGGTAAGTTAAATGCGAAATAGATAATAGATAAGTATAAAAGGAAATCGAGGTCGAGATCGGGTAAGTAAATTGCCTTGGCCTTTATTTGTTTATCATCTTCATAATTATTATTTTCATTAATTTTTAATAACTACATTATTTTCCTCAATCATTAGATAACCCTCATGTTCGTCTCTCCTAATCATTATGTAAATTTACAAACCCGTGTTAGGTGTAAGGGATCTCTTGCAGTATAGGTGAGACTATTAATAAAAAGTATTATTAATAAATTGATTTAGAATAGATTTACCCTATATCCGATGTAAGAATTCACTTGTAAACCGTAAATTGAAATCATAATTGTAAGCAATTATAAGGATTATAGGAAAAATTTTTTTGAGAGGTCAAAGTATTAATTAATGTGAGGGACCAACATGAGGTTGGTCCAACGTGAGGTCAATTAGTGTTTTTTATGATTATTAATCACTGGCGGAATTTAAATACTAATTGACCTCACGTTGGAACCAACCTCATGTTGGTCCCTCAGAATTAATAATGTCTTGAATCACGAGTCGTGTTAATGGTAAGTTTCAATACATTCGATGAAAACTCAATGAAAACGTAAAGTTTTTTTTTTCGATCAGATTTTTTGGCAAAATTGTCAGAAAAAATGATAAAATATCAGCAATTAGTCGACTAATTATGATTTATTTAAAAACCAAAGATCGATTAATCAATTAATTCTTAACCTTGCAATTAACTTAAACTCTTGAGTAGATCCTTTATGTTTGTATATTTTAAATGTTCAGGTTTCATACTGGTAAAACAATAAGATTAATTTACAAGACGGTAGAACTTTCATGAACGAGGGGCATTTTATTCCAAACGAACATTAGAAGTTAGTGTAACCTTTTGCCTTTATCACAAAATGATATGAAGACACAAAGAATGTAAAATCACTTTATGTGAGCGTGAAAGGAATTTATCCAAGTACAAATGTTAAATTAACGTGGTGATACTGCTCTTCACGATGTAATTGTAATCGAATTTAAAAGATATGAGATATTTACCGTAGCATTTTATTTATCTGCAGTATTGTATCTGTATCAATAAAAATGTACATGAAACATTCGAATGTTCGTGTCGATTAATTATTTTTTAACAAGGTAAAAATCGCGGCCAAGAATATAGTTAAGGAATTTTGAAAAAGCTTGGTTGTATTTTAAAATTACAAGCCTGTAAAACGTAGGTCTCGGCAAAATTTTATTCTCTTGAGAATAAAATATCGAACAAAAATTTTATGAAAATTACTTATTTTCGGTAGTTTTAGATTATTCGATTTTTTTTTTTTTTTTTACTAGCAGAAAGAATTCTGGAAGTGCATAAATAAAATACTTTCGCTTAAAAAATAGTTTGAATTTTTTTTTTTATTGAAGAAATCGATTTTGCATCCAATCACAACTGTGGGGGGAATTAGGGCTCCTATGCGTACACGGCAAAATGGAGGTCCAGGTTGATCCATGATGCAGATACAAAGGTTTGTTCCTATTTAAATAAATAATTAGTATCCCAAAAAACATTTAAATTAATAATACGAATAAAATCCATACCGTATGCTTGTATCAAAAACAACCCCACTTCGCACAACTGCCTATATAAACTCTCCTGATCTCACAGGAACTCCTTATTCTCTTCAATTAATTGGAACCCTAGCTTTTGCTCTAAGTCATGGCCGAAGCGAAATAATTTGTGCAGGTCCGACTTGAATTTTTTTTTGTCAATAACAAAGGGACTTCCGGGAATTTCTTCATATAGGTTTTCCTGAATAGTTCCTGCAATTTTTATATAAACCCAAAAGTCGGGCTTATTTGAACTAGACTCAATCCGAGTAGAATTTGTCAAACAAGTTTTCGAACTCTTGGGTCGGTAAATCATAATAATGATCTGGAACGTGGGCTTCAAATACAGTTCGTGGGACCTTAGATGATGACGATTCTTCAACAGCCATCATTCATAGAATGCTTGAGGATTTTCTAACCAAGAAGTAAAAAATTTGGCTGATTTGCATTTTGCGCAGATGCAGATGAGGATGATTGTGCAGACAAAATAAATATATAATCAAAAAACGTGAAAGTGATAAGCTTTTGTAAAAAAATTATGATTCTAAAATGAGCTGTGTTTATTGTAATGCGTGATCAATCAAACAATGTAACAATTACTGAACCGAATTAGGGAGTAATTTTAATTGAAATTGATGACGTATTTAGAATTTGCTAGAGCGGCTGCCGCAGCATTTAATTAATTAATCGATTGACAATGATCATTAGCAAATTTTGGGGTATTTATTTTGAAATAAGTGATCCGGCAATCTGATTCGATGCACCTAGTATTCTCCTAAAAAAAAAGTTACGTAACTGAGCTTTAATTTAAAATACAGTAACAATAATGATGATGACCCTAGTATCGCCACCAAAATCAGTTACGTATAACGGAGCTTAAATTTATTACCGATTAATGCAATAATGACAACATTTGATGGGAGCCCTAATTTCTCCCCACAGTTGTGATTTGATGCATGAAATCCCGTCTTTAATTGGACAAACTTGATCATGCCA